CTCCTTCAGAGATCTTATGTTGTGGCTGACTGGCATAGCCACCTCTTGGCTTAGCTTAACAGAAATATAGAAGCTAAGCTCAATAAAAAATATGTGAGCTAAGCTCAACAGACAATATATGAGCCTAACTCAATAGAAATAAATGAGCCAGGCTTAACAGAAATATAGGAGCTAAGCTCAATAAAAAATATGTGAGCTGAGCTCAACAGACAATATATGAGCCTAACTCAATAGAAATAAATGAGCCAGGCTTAACAGAAATATAGGAGCTAAGCTCAATAAAAAATATGTGAGCTGAGCTCAACAGACAATATATGAGCCTAACTCAATAGAAATATATGAGCCTAACTCAATAGAAATAAATGAGCCAGGCTTAACAGAAATATAGGAGCTAAGCTCAATAAAAAATATGTGAGCTGAGCTCAACAGACAATATATGAGCCTAACTCAATAGAAATAAATGAGCCAGGCTTAACAGAAATATAGGAGCTAAGCTTAATAAAAAATATGTGAGCTGAGCTCCACTTCAGGATATCTCCTATCTCTAGCTCTTAGTCTCAATATAATCTACTCCTTGTTTTAGCTAAAAGCCTCCTTGGAGGTAGTCTGCTCATGAGATTTGTGGATGACCCACTGGTCTAGTGAGACATTCCACAGTTGGGGAGGTCCTGATGTAATAATGATAAACTCAGAATTTATATATTGCAATAAGAAAACAATGTGCTAAGATGCAGTGAACTCTGGTCTATATATGACTAACTACAGTACAACAAGGAGAACATCCAGGTGGAGGATGATTCTGGTGAAGCATGCATGAGGATTATATAGTAGATATACATAGGGTGAAGTGTAGGTTATGTTGAGGAGTATATGTGGGTGAGAGGAGCCTCTCTAGTGGTTACGATTCCTGAGATACGAAGAGAATCATTCTTATAAGCGGTGGGCCTTTGGAGGCTGATCTGAACTGTGACGCACTTTTCCCCAAACTGTGGGAAAATCCTGGAGATAGAACTTAGCTACAAACATTCTAATAACTCTTCTTACCCAACTACAAGTTGACTATAGGTAGACATTCAAAACAGTTGTATTGAAAATCAGCGCGACTTGTATAGATAACCATCAATAGATGCATGACTGTAGTGCTTAGATTAGATAACAGATAACAGCTATATGTCAGGGAACATTGAAATTACCTTCAATGGAGTGTTGTACTGAGTTTAATGCATTGTAATCATTACTATTGAATTGAAACCAAAAAATAGACCTAGTTAGTGTTACGTGGCAGCGAAACACGAGTGGCTAGTCGAGTCATCACGAGACAAGGTCTTAGTCTAAGACACAAGTCCGTTCAAGTGACACTTCTGGCGATGTCCTCGCACTGAAGGTCGATCAGAGTTCGTTCTTATGACTCGTAGTAGCTGTCTGCTACTGACAGTCGATCTCAGTTAAAGGCAAGTGAAAAGCTGGTTTAATGGTAACCAGGTCGAGATGGGATCCAGCTCGATGAGGTCGTCTACTTATACAAAAGGTATCCGCAGTACTACGCAGTAATACAGGATCGTTCATTGGCTAGATAAGGTGAAACGATGTCTGGGCAAGGTAACAGCGAGGAAGTAATATGTATGAAAAGCTGAGTAAGATTGTGAGAGATAATCAGTACTAATGGGGATAACAAGTCGTGTATCAGAACGAGGTAAAGATGAGGCACACATGCACGTTTTGCATGTGTGATAAGAAGAAGGTCCAGAGTTGGATCCGATGTAACCCTAGACTAGGGGTTCTGGACATCTGGGTAGAGAATCGGAGGTTGCGCTCTGATGAGTCACGTATTGGATCACGTGGTCTGGTAAAGTAAAGGGAACGAAGAAAGGAAAAAGAAAAGATGCGCCATAACTGAGGAGCATTATAACATCAGCTCCCGTCTAACGTTTCTTGTCCCACAAGGAATATTGTAGTCTTCATCGTCGGCGGGGGCAGTCCCGAACATAATGATCACCTCCACATCTGTAGCATGTCCACCGGCCGGTTCGTGATCCTCATTCATGTGTACGTCCATCACGATAGGGATGACTGCGATGCGAAGAAGTCGATGCGTGCGAGAAGGAGGGTTGCGATAGTGGGGATTGACCAGTAGGTACATGTGAACGAGGGGGGCGAGGTTGAACAGGAATTGGTTCAGGTGATGAGCGAGGAGTGGATGTGGGTCTTCCACTAGTGGTGTATCCGAGGATGTGTCTGATGTCTTTGTCCCCATGCTCCCTCCATATCTCCTGCGCTGTGCGAGTGACTGTACTGCGCATTAGAGACCAGACTTGGTCAACTCTGGTTTGGGCTCTACTCGTCCTCTCCTCTGCTGCGATGAGCTCTTGTCTGGCCGTCTGCATCCACTCGACCATTTCTAATGCTCGCTGCATAGAAACCACCGCTTGTCGATCTTGCGGGCGATTCCTCAGGGCAACTAGAATGTCTGTAAAGTTGACGGGGATGCGGATGGCAGAGACTAGACGTGTGGCAAATTCTTGTTTGTCCGATGCATGACTGAGTTCAATTGAAGGTGAAGGCGATGAAGTGTGGATGAAGGGTGTCTGTGTTCGGGAGGGTACTCCATTGACAAGCATAGGTGATGCGGGGATGCTCATGATTGTGGAAACGACTTCAGCGAGTATGTTGTGAACAAGGTCATCAATAGCAAAAGTGGGCATTGATGATACATCGCCCTCTCCTCCTTTTATACCTTTCAGTCATTAAGGGGATTGCGGTTATCTGTGAGGTAAAATAGAATGTCGTGGATGCGGGTGATAATCAAATAGATGAAAATCCATTGGGCGATGAAGAGTATTCCCACGGAGATAAGAACTGCCCGGTCAGTTCCAAGCATCGTTCTGATCACCCCAGCTGTTAGCGTGTGGGTTGTCTCATGTGAAGAGTGTATGTTCAATGAGTCGTCTGATAAGGATTCTGTGGACGATCCAAAGGAAAGCGAGGGTTGTACAGTGGAGGACAATTAGAAAGATAATGAGGAAGGCCGTCGTGGTAGTCATTCCAGTTTCCTTGTCCTCTACTTGATTCCCCTGGTCCTTTTATATGCGTCGAGGGTTTGCTTTGCATTCTGTAAATTGTGGGCAGGTTCCCACGAGTTTTCTGCTGACGAATATCCCTTCCACTTGACTAAGTACCTCAGGTGACCTCAGTATGCCTTGTGATTCAGGATGGCTTCGACTTTGTACTCTTCTTTGTTATCCACGACATCAGGTGGTGGGTTCATGTAATTCGGGCCATGTATGTCGTTTTCGCGATAAGGAGATAGAAGGGCGGCGTGGAACACAGAATGAACTTGCCAGGTCTTCGGGAGTCTAAGGCGATAGTTGGCTGGTCTGATGACTTCAACGATTTCGAATGGCCCCTCACACTTTGGAGCTATCTTGCGCGAGGCGTAGTTGACCTTCAGGTTCCTCGAGTCTAGCCAGACCTTCTGTTCTAGTGTAAACTTCGGCGATCCTTATCTGACTTGGTCCGCCATCTGTTGTCGGGCTGACTCGTGCATGGCTAGTGCTTCTAGTCTTATCTTCTGCAACATGTCAAGCCTGGATTCAACCGATGGAATGTTTGTGTTTGGGAATACGGAAGGGAGTCCACGTGGTTCATATCCCATCATGATGCGGAATGGGCTCATTTGCTGAATGTTCCCTCGTGTTATGACAAAACTCGAGGTCTGGCAGGCGATCAGCCCATGTTTCAGGGTTGTTTCCGCAATAGAGTCGAAGATAGATTTCCAGCTCCTGGTTGACCTGTTCTGTTTCTCCGTCTGTCTGAGGGTGATAAGCTGTGCTTATCGATGATCTAATCTGGAGTAGTCGATTTAACTCTTGGAAGACCTTGGATGCATATTGAGGTCCTCTATCTGAGATGATTCGGTCAGGTAATCTGAATCGCGAGTAAACTTTGTCGTGAAAAATCTTGGCTGTCCCTTCAGCTGTGATCGTTTTGAAGCAGGGCATAAGAATCACCCCCTTTGTAAGGTCATGGTCTACTATGACCATAATCGAATCAAAGCCGTTGGAAATGGGGAGGTCGGTGATAAAATCTGTGGTGCAACAGGAAAATGGTAAGGCATGTGAGTCTGCAGGGATTGGTTCCAAAGGAATACGCGTTGGGTGAGTATTCGGTTTCATCTGTTGACAGGCAGCACAGCCTTCGACGTAATTATTGACAAATGCGTACATGCTGGACCACCAAAATTCACGACGTAGGAGTTCAAGAGTATTGAACTTTCCAGGGTGGCCCATGGCAGGGGAGTCATGATGTAGTCGAACGAGGTCACGATGAAGAGGTTCGGATGGTGGAACATAAATCTTTCCCTTGTAAAGGATGACACCATCGCAAACTTCCCAGTCGGAGAGCGAGGATTTCATTGGGAATGGCCCTTTGTGCGTGATCACTTCAAGGGCTTCATGAACAATGAGGTCCTTTGCTGCGTGATTTCTGATTTTATCAAATAGCGTTGGGGAAATGGATCACACAAACAGTGCATCGGGTAAAAGGATGCAATTTTCATTATCACTTTCACTGTCATTGAGTCCATTACGATGAGATAGCGCATCAGATTGGATCATCTGAGTGCCAGGGACATGGATGAGGTGAAGATCGTGTTGTGATAATTTGAGACTCCATCGTGCTTGTCAGCGGTTTAACTTCTGGGCTGTACGGAAGTATGTGAGATTCTTGTGATCACTGCGAACTTCGACAGGATAAGGAGAGCCTTCTAAGTAATGGCGCCATTCGGTAAGGGCTCGAATGATTCCGAGAAGTTCGCAGTCGTAGATTTCGTAGTTTCATTCAGCAGAATTGAGCGTCCGTGAAATGTAGGCACAAGGATGGAGTTCTCCATTGATATCGGCTTGTCATAAAACTGCACCCGTAGCAAACTTGGAAGCGTCGGATTCGACAATAAAGGGTTTTGCTTTGTCGGGCAGCAACAACACTGGGGCAGTACTGAATCGTCATTTCAATGTATCAAAAGCTGTCTGACATTCCGTTGTCCATTCAAAAGGTGGAGATCTAGCAGCAGTACGCGTAAGGTTCGTCAATGGTTTGGCAATATCCGAGAAGTTGGCAATGAATTTTTGGTAGAAGTTTCCAAACCCGAGGAAAGAGTGAACACCTTTTACCGTGCTTGGTTTAGGCCATTCCGCAATTCCTTTAAGTTTGATAGGGTCCATGCCGATGTAGTTTTCTCGAATGATCATGCCTAGGAATTCGACTTCCTTAACGTCAAAGAAGCACTTTTCCGATTTAATAAATAGGTTGCTGTCTTTGAGTCGTTGGAGTACGCGTCGGGTTCGGATGCGATGTTCTTCCAAATTGTTCGAGAAGATGAGGATATCATCCATGTAAATGACTATCCATCCTTCATCGATCATGTCTTCGAAGAGTGCATTCATCATCATTTGGAAAGTCGCCGGGGAGTTGCAGAGTCCAAAGAACATGACCATAGGTTCGAAAAGTTCGCGATTTGTCTTAAATGCGCCCTTCCATTGGTCACCATCTTTGACTCTAACGTTGTTATATCCGGAGCGTAAATCCATTTTCGTAAAGATCGATGCACCTTGAAGTTGATCCATGAGCTCAGAATGAGCGGAAGGGGGTAGGCGTTCTTCACTGTCCCTTCATTCAGGTATCGGTAGTCCTGACAGGGATGTAGTGCTCCATCTTTCTTTCCAATGAAGAAGAATGGCGAGGCCATGGGGAATTTCGACAGTCGAATGTATCCTTTTCGCAGATTTTCTTCCAAGAAGTCATCCATTGCTCCTTGTTCCTTGAGCGATAACGGATAGACTTTACAGTTGCGTGAAATAAAATCAGGTTTCAAGTCAATGGCGTGGTCCCAAGGCCTGGTTTCTGGGAAGCGTTTGGCTGCTTTCTTTTCAAAGACTGACTTTAAATTGTGGAGGTAGTCGAGGATCAACTCTTCAATGGTTGTGGGTTTGTTTACAGCTGACGCTTCCTTGTGTGCTTGTTGTGCCAATTCCTGTGATTTACCGGATGGTTTATAAAAAACCGTATTCTGTGCATCACAGAATAATGGGGATCGAGTACTGTGTGTCATTGTTCCTATGATGGGGCCTCTTCGTACAGTAAAGACTGTGGTTTCAGTCTCTTCAGGAGATAACTAGATCGTCATCATCAAATTGATCCATAGAGGGTTCTAATGGTGGGTCGTCTGGTTCGGTATCATTCCGCACTGCAGGTAACTCGCCATGCTCAGTGTCATCGGCCATGATTTCTCTGATAAATTCTGAATGTCCAAATGAGGTCGGAGAAGTTTCAGTGGTGATTAACTCCGGGAGGTTATCTTCCTTGAAAATTGAAACTTCTTCATCTGGTACGTCTTCGACGGTGGGTTTCGGTGGCCATTTGGCATCCTTGCCAAACCAGAAGTCACCGGTTTCCCAATTAATCATCGGATTGAGGCGTTTAAGCCACGGCATGCTGAGAAGTATATTCTCTTTGCCAATACCGGTTAAGAGGAAGCGAGTAAGTGTCTTCCTTCCTCCAATCTTCATCATCTTCCAGGTACAGTGGGTAATGGTACCCATCTGATTCGGTGTGCCGTCTGCATTTACGACTTTAATTGGTTTCAGTAATTCCCATTTAAGGAAATCATTTTCTTCCGCAAATTGAATATGCATGAACGTTTCGGCCACACCGGAATCAATCAAGGCTTCTGTTGCAATGCCTTCCTTCTCTCCCAACGAAATATTCACAGTGATTGAATTTCCGCTAGTGTTACAAATAACGAGGGGAGATACGGTAAGATACGACGGTCCATGCGTTACTAGTGACCGTTATTTCAAAAACCCAACTGGGTTCATTCTTCATCAGTCATGTCATTGAAGACATTTCGCACATAGGCGATCTGTTCCTCTCTGGTTTCTTCCTTCGGCGTCTCCTTCTTCTGTGCAAGGTCTTCTTGCATCTTCTTGATCCATGTGATCGTGTCCGTGTCCAACCCGGGCTGTATCGTTCTGGCACGGGTGAAGCTTCCAGACTGGGGGTGAAATTGTCTGTCGTTGGCTATATGGCCCTTCTTTCCACATAGGAAACATAATCCTTCTTTCATTCTCTTCTGTTGCTCATCTGGGGACAAGCGCGAGATATTGATACGATCAACATCCATCGGGTTCAGATCCTTTGCAGAAGTTGAGTAGTAGGGACGATGGACAGATCGACCTTTTCCTCCATCTTTGTCAGTTATGAAAGATAATCTTTTCTATCAATAAGTAGCAAATTTTCATGAGAATCGCTACTTTTAAGTAGACTTATTTGTAGGTGCATAGATTAACTCAGGATAATCTTAATATAATCTTTCAGATAATCTTTCAGATAATCTTCTGGATAATCTGAGAATAATCTGAAGATTAGCAACAAAATACAATTTTAACTTTGACACCAGCCAGGATTGAACCCTGGATGATTTTATAAAATATAATTCCAAGTGACACTTTAGACCACTTGACCATTAGGCCATACATCACAACTATCTTATATTAAATTAGACATCTTTTTCTTGAAAAAGACTTAGCCAAATTCTGTCTATTAGAAAAGAGTAAGTAAAAGACACTTGACGTTTATCATAGATAGACAAGACTTACAGACAAACAGTACTCTGCATCTTATTATAGTCTTGTTCTACAGCTTATAGTTTTTGTAAACTATCATGCAGTACCATAAAGTATCTTAATATAGTCATCTATAATATATAACAAGTTATTGAGAGATAGTATTTTATTTGTTCATTTTAGGCTTATACTCTAGAGTCTATTATATGATAGACTGAGCACTTATATATACAAGATCTTTATAGCTATCTTCTAATTGTATAGCAAAGTTCTGTTTTGCTGAAGTAACTGTAGAAACATATATTCTATTAATTACATATTGTACTACATTATATGAAGGCTGCAAGCATTAGAAAAGACTATAAGACTCAGAGTAATATTTGTTTATAAGTCTTGTCTATCTATGATAAACGTCAAGTGTCTTTTACTTACTCTTTTCTAATAGACAGAATTTGGCTAAGTCTTTTTCAAGAAAACGATGTCTAATTTAATATAAGATAGTTGTGATGTATGGCCTAATGGTCAGGTGGTCTAAAGTGTCACTTGGAATTATATTTTATAAAATCATTCAGGGTTCAATCCTGGCTGGTGTCAAAGTTAAAATTGTATTTTGTTGCTAATCTTCAGATTATTCTCAGATTATCCAGAAGATTATCTGAAAGATTATCTGAAATATTATATTAAGATTATCCTGAGTTAATCTATGCACCTACAAATAAGTCTACTTAAAAGTAGCGATTTTCATGAAAATTTGCTACTTATTGATAGAAAAGATTATCTTTCATAACTGACATCACTGTTTCCTTGTGTCGTTATAGTGGCTTCTCGCTTGAAGATCTGAGCAGATCTCCATTGGTTGTCAAACTGCGAGGCGTATTCATACCACTTGTCAAGTGTCTTGGGCATGCTTTCCATCCCATATATCCTTTGTCGGAGTGGGTCGTTAAGTCTCCACTTGAAATACTCAATATTTCCGGCATCTTCTAATTTCGCCTTGGATTCAAGCAATCAGAATTCGGCAATGTAGTCGTCTGCGGTATGAGTCCGTTGCTTGATGTTACACAGCAAGGTACGAGCGGTTTCTTCAATATTTTCATCGCCAAATGCTTTGTTCACATTTGCAATGAACTCCCTCCAACTTCCATAAGAAAGGAAGTCGTCATTGGTGAGTTCCGTTTCTATGAAGCTCTGTGCCCATGATCCCGCTGTCCCTCCTTGCATGTGTGATAGCACGAATGCAATCTTCTGGTTATCTTCCTGGTAGACATGGCTATTTCCAGCCATGTAATTCTTGCATTGGTTTATAAATTCCCTAAGCTTTGAACGGTCTGAACCGTTGAAGATCTCGGGTTTTCTAAAATCAAGTTCCTTCTGACTGACGTGGTGACGTCCTTCATCCATGGTAACTATATCCATTGGTGGTATGTAATTGGGTACAATTGGTGCAAGAGTCGGTTGGGGTACAGGATTCTGGGCAGGGGGGTTCCAAGGGGCGTCTGGTCTCTCTCCTGGATAGGAGGTCATTATACCGCTGTCTGCGATGTGCCGGAGCACTATCCCACCAAGATTATGGGGGAGTATTCATTCAAATTCCTCCGGGGAGTAGTCGAAGTTATGATTGTCTGGCCTGATGAATACAGGCCTTCCTCCTATAAAATGTGCGTTTCGTTCTGTGCTCCACTCTGCTTGGGATGGGAGGTGCTCGCGGTACTGCTCCGGAAGAGCGGTCGGGTTAATGTAGTTTAAATCCAGCGTGGATAAATTCTTCTGTGTGGCCTATGTCTACACGTAGACTGCACACTGTCCTCAACTAAGTGGGTTCGTTCGTCGTCGGCTAACAAGCCTGTAGAGTGTCTTCTGTCTTCAAACTGGTACACCTATTTGCTGATTGCTCAAGTGATTACCTCAGCCTCCTCGGCCTATTGGTCTCTCGGACAGACCCCTCTCCGAAGATGAGTGATCAGTCTATCCCTTCAGCTACCTCGATTACAGAGTAATCTCAAACGGTGCTTTAGCAATCGAATCGGGTGTATCGTTTAGTCTTCAAGGTTCGGTCCGGTTGGTAGTTCATTGTTAGACTTTTTTGGAAGTCACAGAGAGTAATAAGATCTCGACCTAATGTTACGCGGCAGCGAAACACGAGTGGCTAGTCGAGTCATCACGAGACAAGGTCTTAGTCTAAGACACAAGTCCGTTCAAGTGACACTTCTGGCGATGTCCTCGCACTGAAGGTCGATCAGAGTTCGTTCTTATGACTCGTAGTAGCTGTCTGCTACTGACAGTCGATCTCAGTTAAAGGCAAGTGAAAAGCTGGTTTAATGGTAACCAGGTCGAGATGGGATCCAGCTCGATGAGGTCGTCTACTTATACAAAAGGTATCCGCAGTACTACGCAGTAATACAGGATCGTTCATTGGCTAGATAAGGTGAAACGATGTCTGGGCAAGGTAACAGCGAGGAAGTAATATGTATGAAAAGCTGAGTAAGATTGTGAGAGATAATCAGTACTAATGGGGATAACAAGTCGTGTATCAGAACGAGGTAAAGATGAGGCACACATGCACGTTTTGCATGTGTGATAAGAAGAAGGTCCAGAGTTGGATCCGATGTAACCCTAGACTAGGGGTTCTGGACATCTGGGTAGAGAATCGGAGGTTGCGCTCTGATGAGTCACGTATTGGATCACGTGGTCTGGTAAAGTAAAGGGAACGAAGAAAGGAAAAAGAAAAGATGCGCCATAACTGAGGAGCATTGTAACAGTTAGCACTTTAGAACATTCAATTTTATTAAGATTTGAGTGACAAACCACTTTTGCAACACTGAGGTGAACAGCAAGAAGACCTGCTTAGTCAGTTTCCTAATTTGGGAACTGACTTACCTGAGGTACTCATAGCTATCTAGGCCATGTCTCTAATATTTCCGCTTTTTTCCGCCTTTTTTAAAAGATTTCTAACCTGAAAATACACTTGCCCAAATTGGGAAAGTTAGAAGCCTTTGAAGTTACAATTCCTATAAGGACTACAAAAATTAATCCAAGAAACTATTATAAATATGCCTACAAGAATCGCTATAAAAATGTTATCAATGTGCCTATAAGAATCATTCAAAAAATGACACTAGAAACTGTTACAAATGTGCCTGTAAGAATCACTACAAAAAATGACCCTAGAACTGTTACAAATGTGTCTACAAGAATTACTACAAAAAATGACTGTAGAAACTGTTACAAATGTGTCTATAAGAATCACTACAAAAAATGTTACCAATGTGCCTGTAAGAATTACTATAAAAAATGCCTCTAGAAACAACTACAAATGTGCATATAAGAATCACTAGAAAAAATGACACTGGAAACTATTACAAATATGCCTATAAGAATCACTACAAAAAATGACACTAGAAACTATTACAAATGTGCGTATAAGACTCACTACAAAAAATGATGCTACAAATTGTTACAAATGTGTTTATAAAAATCACTACAAAAAATGTTACCAATGTGCCTATAACAATCACTACAAAAAATGACCCTAGAAACTGTAACAAATGTGCGTATAAGAATCACTATAAAAAATGACACTAGAAAATATTACAAATATGCCTATAAGAATCACTACAAAAAATGACATCAGAAACTGTTACAAATGTGTTTATAAGAATCACTACAAAAAATGACGCCACAAACTGTGACAAATGTGTTTATAAGAATCACTACAAAAAATGATGCTACAAATTGTTACAAATTACTGTGCCCTGCGTCTTGTCATACGTAGCATGCATGCAGCATGGAGTTCAGGACAGCAGAACCATGGTACTATGCCAGAGTACTCTGAACCAACTGAGACTCAAGAACGTTCCTTGAGGAACACAGCAGATGAGGAAGTATTGCCTGGCATGGCCTCATGCTAAAGACCAGGGTTGACCTCTTCAAGTGTTTGTGTCATTGGTGCACAGAGGGTGGGTGGACATGAGAACACCAGGTATACTGATTTGCCAACCGCTTGATGGTGGGCCGAGAGTAAAGTACTGAATACAGCCAAGGATTGGCCGACACAAAAACTCAAGGTATACGCTTGATGGTGGGCCGAGTTTAACATATTGAATACAGCCAGGGATGGGCCGGCATGAACATCTTGAGTATGGAATGCTACACCGATGCGGTGGCCGAGTCTAGAATGTGAGATACAGTCATACATGGGCCGACAGGAGAACTCTAGGTACACACCTGACAGTGGGCCGAGTCTATCGAATACAGCCAAGGATCAGCCAACACAAAAACTCTAGATACACACTTGACAGTGGGCCGAGTCTAATGTATTGAATACAGCCAGAGATGGGCCGGCATGAACATCTTGGGTATGAAATGCTACACTGATGCAGCGGCCGAGTCTAGAATGTGGGATACAGTCACACATGGGCCGACAGGAGAACTCTAGGTACACGCTTGACGGTGGGCCGAGTCTAATGTATTGAATACAGCCAAGGATGGGCTGGCATGAACATCTTGGGTATGCAATGCTATGCCGACGTGGCCAAGGATCGGCCGACATAAAAACTCGAGGTACATGCCTGACAGTGGACCAAGCCTAATGTATCGAATACAGCCAGGGATGGGCTGACATGAAAATCATGGGTACAAAATGCTACGGCTGTGTGTAAAGTATAAGACACAGCCAAGGATCGGCCAACATGAAAACTCAATGTACACACTTGACGGTGGGCCCAGAGTAAAGTACCAAATACAGCCAAGGATCGGTCGACACGAGAACACTCAATCATTTGCCTTGTCCATGGGCTGAGTCAAGTATGTCGATGTGCAACTTTGCCTACAGGCATGTATGCCTGTATCAACTGTCAGCCAAGTAGAAGATCTGAGGCCTTACTTCTGCAGGCCTCTGAGTGGGCCAAACCGAAAGTTTTCTAATGATGCTGCCTGGGCCCATCCAACAATAGACTTCAAGTGTATCTGCAAACTCACTGGGCTAATCCATGAACATATCGGTGGAAGCAATAAATGGGCCAACCAGAGGTAAAGACGTACAGCACAGATGGCCCATCCAAGCAATGGGCATATGAGGGTCTCATTGGCCCATGTTGGCTTGTCGAGGGCACATGTCACTGGTTGACTTGTCCAGATTCAGAGACATTTTTCCTGAGCGGGATCTTATGCGAACCTGATAACTGTGATCCTGCAGACATCACAACTGCAAGTTAGAATTATGCAGACTGCTAAGATAATGGGACAGGAGTCGATGTATCGTCATTGCTCTCCTCATGCTCCTTGTCCCCCACCTGACCCTTCACCCTGCCCGGTCAACACATGCTCATGCAGTATGTTAAAGTAGATTTTTTTTTCTCGGCATCCAATGCGACAATGTCTCAGTGGACGTGGGAAAGAGGAAGCAGAAACTGTTGATGTTCCTCTTGGACCTTGCTCTGGGCTGGCCAGGGACATTGGCATATCGAATGCAGTTGAAGAGGAGTTCAAATCATGCTTAGAACTATGGTCATGGTCAAGTAACTGTTTCGTGTTAATTTTCTTAGTGAATCTGTACTCAAGGAAGTTGGCACAAAAGACGGAATATTATCGGTGACCCGGATATGCCATATGGCCCAGATGTGCCATACTTTTCTCTACAGCTTGATCCTCTTCACCAATTGGCTCAATAATATTTGCTTATGCTCTCATACATTGTACTTCAATACTGTAAATTTTTGAGAATTACATATGGCCCACTTGGGTCCCACAACAGTCGAGATTGCTGGAATGTATTTGGCTGGTGCCGCCTCGGCATGTCTCCAACATGTTCAACTCTACTCAGAAAAATCCGAAAAAAATTTTCTAGTATATACCCACTTCAGGGTACCCTTTATCCCTAGCTCTTAGCAACAAGATCTTCTATAGTATGTCATAGTTAAGAGCTTCTTAAGTGTCAGACTGACGATGGTACCTATTATGTCCTAGGGCATTCTGTGGCATTGCCCAGGGCATAGATAGGGTAGTGGCTGGGCATATGGGATGATTATTATGTGAGATATCCTACTAGGCTAGGACATTAATTGTTTATCCCAGTATTACTGATTGTCCCATGGTGTCAGGGATACATAAGGATATCCCACTGTTAGCAGAAGATGTATTTTAGACTGTATATTTGTTGTTTCATATTTTCATCTACTGCTATACTATATAAACTGTAATTACATAGTACAGTAAATCAGTGCTTTATTAACACTTAATATAAAAATGGGACATTCCATTTTAAGGCGTACTTGCTTGACTATCGAAGTGGATGGACGTACGTGGCATAGCGTCAAGGGGCTCAGCGATGAGCGATTGTCGACGGAGTTGGGAGGTATCAGAAGTGTGAAAGTCGAAAGTGTGAGCTGGTGGAGGAAGGGGAGTAGCTTCCAACAGGGCGTGTCGAGGGATTGGCGAGATGCCAGAAGTGTCGAAGTCGAACATTCCACTGGGCGCAGTGGGGGTGGAATCTGAGATGAGTGCACGCTTATGGATTGGCGAAGTGCCACAAGTTTCATCCCAAGTTGGCACCAAAGGGTCAGGAATAAGTGTGCGACTTCCCTCCACAGGCACCACAGATCCAGATGATGCCTGTACCTTAGGCGAGGTGTGGCAGTGGAAATGCTCATGTGGCGAGTTGGATGGTGCAAATGGAGCTGCCAGGGACGGGGTAGTGCGGCGAGGCGCGATAGGTGTCTGAGAAGCAGAGTGGAGAGGCAAGGAGATCTGGGCAGATCCAGGAGAGTCAAGGAGATCCGAAATGAGTGGACAATGGGGCTCAGCGATACTATCCTCCTCATCCAACTCGCCCATCGTAATGTCCAGCGTGTCAGGAGGTTCCGCGTCACTGGCCATGGCAGGTAGATTGTGGTGAGCAGACAAGTCTTCGATCAGTCCTGGATCGTGGGAGATCAGTTGTAGAAAGGGGATTGATATGACATAGAAAGGTCAGATAACGTCACAAAGGAGTCAGATTCCACAAGGAGAGCAATAGAACTTACTGTTGGGAGCCATGAGAACTTGCGGCAGGTCACACTGACCTTGAGAGACTTGAGAAATCGCACAAGTCCAGCGATCACATGCAAAGCACGTGGTCACATGGCGTGTGAAGTTGAACTTGGTGCAGATCACGTCTGCCAGTTCATAGTGTTGTCTGCTCTGCCTCCGCTGTACTGCAACCTCTGCTTTTGAAACACCCTCACGCTTTCTTCTGCCAAGCTCACCATGCCTCTGGATATCGACCCCAACTATGTTCTGCAGGCCGCACGACTGATGGCCATTGTTGCAGCAGCGCCTCACCAGGATGACCCTCGCTATCTGGACTGGGAGATGAGGATTTACCTCGAAGTGGTAAGTCATCGGTCGAAGGTCTGGTATGCACTTACCGAATATGCCACACAGAGTCGGCTTGAAAAGAGTTTCCCGCAGCCCTTGAAGTCGTTGAGGATGCCTGGCATCATCATCAGCGCATTGCTGGAATTCACCCAGGCATACCAGCAGAAGGCCCTGGCATGGCTGGACCACATATCGAACGATGATGAGAGGATATATAAGAGGTACCCTCTGGCTGTGAGCGAGTATGGGGAGTGTGAGGACCTGGGAAGGCAGTGGTGGACTGAAGGTGAGTCACAAGTGTTGTGAGGCATTGAGCAACACACTGACTGCACCAGATCCATATTGCAAGCTGCCACTGGTGAAGAGTACGCCAGCGACCGGCTCGGGCAATGTGCCAGCCGATGACAACACCCAGGGACGTGGCACGGAGGACTTGGGGACTGGGGACCTCATCACCAAGGGGAAAGGCAAGGAGAGAGCTGTCAACGATGCCGGGACAGGCATGGTGGGTGATCGTATCGTCCACGTGGAGGTGGGGGAGGACAAGGGAAAGGGAAAGAGCAAGGAGAAGGTGCAGGGGAAGGCAGCGCATGCGATGAGTGAGGAAGAGGATGAGAGAGAGGGAGAGGGAGAGGAGCAGGAGGGCGAGGACAATGACGATGCCAACAATGATGACGGTGATGAGAACGATGATGCCGACAAAGATGACGATGATGAGATGGCGGAAGACGTGCCGAGTGCAGGCCAGCCCGAATCCATTGAGGTCGATGTGGCGTCGCCTGCTCTGCCAACTGCCAGACCAACATCGATCTCACCAGCTGCCGCACCACTCCAAAAGTGCAAGGCCGTCATCACGGAGTCAAGTGAGGAGAGTGAGAATGAGGAGGCGGCTCTGAAGGTGAAGCAGATGAAGCCGATCGAGGTCACAAAGGAGAAAGGCGAGGCCCCGACCACCTCTGCTCAAGCCCAGCATGTCCAGAACAGGATGGCGCAGACTGAGGTGAAGGGCTTGAAGGTGAGCAGGAAGAGCGGGAAGAGGAAGGTGAAGAAGTCGAGCGATGAAGAGGAAGTACTGACCACCAAGCTGCCAAAGAAGAAGCGTGCGACGAGAGAATACAAGAGCAAGGAGTTCATCGAAAGCGAAGATGAGACTCCGGCACCGCCTTTCAATCTACCTGCCAAGACTGCAGGAGACTCTAACGCGGGTGTTGCGAAGATAAATGCCCCTGCCAAACCTGTCAAACAGACAATGAGGATCACAGTGTCGCCTCATGTCACACTGAAGGTGAAGGCAAAGGGGAAGGCAAAGGCGACGGGGAAGGTGAAGGCAAAGGCGACAGGGAAGGCAAAGGCGATGGCATCGCAGAAGGACAAGTGGAAAAAGACGTCCACCCACGTGTCTGACTTCATGTGGGCACATGCAACGGATTCGGTGAGTAACGATCTTGTGAGACATTGACCTGTGCTAATGTTCCTGCAGCTCGTCCCTTGCGTCGGCTGCCAGGAGAAATAGTGGCCATGCAAGCTCAACACCACCAACTTCGGTCGGTGCCTCGAATGTGCAGCATGAGGCATCAGTTGCAGCATCGTGCCGAGGAACATGGATGGCGTGTCCCTGTGAGGAAACTCTCACACCACACAGCGTGAGTTCCAAGAGATGTGCGCAGGGCTGGTGTTAGAGGGCAAGCCACTGCCCACGTCGCCACCTCCATATGACGTTAAGGTCGACTCCAATGAGCCCGACGGTGCAGAACCCATGGTCATGGGAGCGTCGAAGCGCAAGCCGCCGAAGAAGACCAAGACGCGCAATGCTGCAGCATCCAGCTCCAAGGTCAAGGGTGGCGAGGAGGTCGAGGCGACAAAGCAGAAGGCGACCGCCATGCCCTATGAAGCCAATGCTGAAGGCGAGGCCTCGGTGGAGAAATCGTCGAAGTCCAAGTGCGCCACCGAGTCCGCCACCGCCACTGGAGCTGTGGCTCTGTCCAACTCTGGCGAGGTCGCCAACTCTGGCGAGGTCACCAACTCTGGTGAGGTCTCCAAGTCTGGTGCACCTGCCAAGTCTGGTGCAGTCGCCAAACCTGGCAAAGGTAAGAAGTCAGGACCCAAGCCAAAGCTGGTGAGGAGCCAAAACTCAGGTGTGCAAGATGGTGGTGAGGTCACCAGGACCTCAGTACGTGAGGCGGATGAGGTCCCGCCTGCCAAGTCTGTTGCGAAGGAGGGTGGGCAGATGACAAGGGTGGCAATGGGAGGTTGCTCAGGCCCAATGGTGCTCGTGATCACCAGGAAGGCCAAGGTGAATGCTCGGAAGGCAGCAGCCAAGGCGCCTCTGGTGGAAGGCGATGGTATGGAGGAAGCCGCCAGGCTGGCAATGGAGGCGGTGCAGGCTAGGGCCTTCCAAACAGGGCCAGCTGCTCCGCTGCAAGCTAGCAGCAGCAAGCGCATGCTGACACCAGTCGCCGACAAACCAGAGGATGTGCCAGAGTTTCGGGCAGAGGTGGCGGAGGATCAGGTAAGCAGGACATCTTGTCGCAGCTGGAGTCGATGTAACCATGAAACAGCGCACGTCCTTGGAGTGGCCACACGATGATCGGCAGCATTCACTGCTGACACGCCACGAGATGAGTGCAGGAGCTGCCGAGGTGGCACAGGAGGTGACACCCTCCCTGGAGGTATCCAAGGCGTCGAAGGGAGTGAAGTCCTCCGCATCAGCGAAGGCGGGACACGTCGATGGAGGGCGAAGGCCAGCAAAGAAGGGCACCACACTGGACCACAAGGCAGTGAAGAAGGAGGCAGAGGCGAAAAGGGACACGAAGGCGAATCGTCTCAGAGCAGTGCCTCCAACCAGCAAGGGTGAGTGCACCTGCCACAGGGTCGAATCCATGCAGCGCTGACCAGGGATACAGCACCCCACTTGCGCGATGTCCAGTGAGTGTCGACAGGAAGTCCTGCTCTGGCGAATGAAGGCGACACCACCAGTGGTGAAGAAACCTTGCAGTCATCCAACGATGACTGCGTGAATTGTGCTGAGTTGTGACAGGAGTTCCTGGCGCACAAGGATGGGATGGAAGTCCAATTCCAGGAGAGGATGGCGGACCTCAACACCGTCAAGGCAGAGATCACAGCGGTGCTCCAGCGAATGAACCCGCCATCCGCACTTCAAGAAAATGCCCGAAGCATTCGCAAAGAGGCCAAGTTGGCGATGGAAGAGTTTCGCAGGCCGGTCACCATTGAGCTTCAGGAGAGCATGAAGTTGGCAGTGGTGGACCTCGTCGCCAAGCGACATTGCCTGCCAGAGCTCAAGGAGAAGGTCAACAGGTTGGAGCAAGGCGCAAACCAGACGGTGAGCCAGGCGGACATCGAGAAGCTGCAGGGTGAATTGGCCGATCTCCGTCATTCGATGGAGCTCCAGGCAGCATGGTCAGACAGCATGGAGAAGGAGCTCAGGTCTTCAGCGGCAGAGGCGATCGCTCAAGTGAGCAAGCTGGAGATGGAGTTGACACTCGCCAAAGAGGATTCGATGGTGGTGGCGACGTCCGCTTTGGATGAAGCAAAGAAGGTGATGAAGGAGGTGGCGACAGCGAGAGAGGAAACCTCGCTGGTGGCGAAGTCTTTGGATGCATTCTGAGAGAAGGTCGACTCCGCCATGGTCTTCACCGCTTTTCGCCCTGATAGCCACAATGTGTAGTCATTAGAATATTGATATACATGCTTTTTAGCCTAGCATGGAATCTCCATGCACTCAATTCGCCACCGCCACTCCAAGTCAACTGAATGTCTGCTGAAGTTCTTGCCCACTCCCCTCGCCATCACCACCATCTCCATGGCTTTACCTATGTAGATCTATGGGTCACATTATAGAAGGCAAAACAATGTGGAAGCCTACGAGTCTACGTTGAACTGGAGTTATATTGTCAAGGTCTGGTGCCGCCACTGTGGGTCTTGCAACCTGCGCCAACTTGGCCACTCTCTTTCACTTTGGCGGCTGCTTTCCCCAGATGCACTGGCTTCAGCTTGGTTTCTCCCTTGTCCTTGACCTCTGGGGTCTGAGGTAGAGCTCATCTTCGCTTTGCGGGAGGCTTGTCACCATCATCCGAGTCCTCGGCCCTCGCATTCTTCTTCCTCAGCGAGGCCACTACCAACTCGTCCCGAGTATCACGTCCACGCTTCCGAGGTGGCAGATTGTCTTCGCCAGAGCTGTCTTCGCCATCGGGCTCAGGATGTGCTGGTTGACATTTCCGCTTTGGATCAGAAAGCTTCTTCAAATCTTTAACAGCTCCTAGTGGATGCTGACTACGGGTATTCTTGGTGGGCGACTCATCCATCGCTTGACACTGACTGCGAGTGATCCTGCTGGGGATATTACTCTGAAGGGCATCGGTGATCGACCTTCCCTGGAGCACTTTGGCTTGACCTGACGGATGGCCTTCTGTGGCTGCCACCTTCCTCATCTTAGGTATAAATGGAGGTGGTGGCGGTCATTCAGCACCACTGCTAGGTATGGACAAGTGTGCATTGTCCTCTTCATCATCATCAGAGGCCCCACCACTGGTCTCCTGGCTCAGCCCTTCATCTCCTCCACTTGGAATGATTGGGTTGTTGGCCATGGCAGCAGGCTGGTGAGCCTTGTAAACTTTGGCAGCAGTAGCAGCGCCATTGTGAGTTCTTGCAGAGGCATCACCTTCCTGCTCCTCCTGGCCCCCAAGGCCATCACCACCTTGAGGGGCACTGCGTATGGCAGGCTTGCTCACTGGCTTCACCATGGCATGGGTGACGTTCCCTTCCACCATGTCCAAGGTAATGATCTCACAACAGCGAAGCAGCTGCTCTACTGCGTCGAATGAGATCGCCGAGTTCACCACATAGTCAGAAAGGTTCGTCGGTTCGCCCTCCTCAATGAACTGAGATCGTGTGAGGTCCCTCAGCACCATACCAATCACGAGTGCAGATTGTTGTACGCCCTGTGGATGTAAGAACCGATATTTTGTCAGCCATGGTTTGTCACCCAACCAGTTCTCAACGATGTCAAAGTTGTCCACTGCATGAAATGACGGTGGGAGGTAGCGCTGGCCATACGACCATTCGCTCCAGGGAATCGGATCATACCTGGCGAAACGATACACCTGGGGCTATATGACGGATGATCAATGGTGGCTATGAATCCCCACGAAAGGAGCTCACCACAGTCGCAATCTTGACTTGCTTCAGCATATCCTGGTATCGCAGTTTGACGGAAAGCATGGCGAGAAACACATCTCTCCTTTTGACGATGTGGGGCTCGGCCTTAAAGCTCAAGCCTCAGCTCCTTTGTACTGGGCTCCAGTTCACTGGATGCTTCATCAGTCTCCTCTGTGTCAAATCTGTGCAGTGTGCCCAGAGAAAGGTCTTGGCGACCTTGCTTTTCCTTCATCTTGGCACCACCACTACCGCTCGCTTAAGGTGCACTGCCATTGGTAGACTTGTGTCCGTTCGTGGTGGCGACAGTCTTGCCCTTCCCTTTATTCACAATTATGCTCTCGCCATCCTCTGAATCTTCATCGCTGGCCAGATCTTCTTCAGAACCCATGCTGGGTATATCTGGCGAACTCCGATGAGAGTCTTGGCTGCTTCTGGAATCATCTTCAGAGTTGTATGCATCTTTCATCTTGCATTTACACCCACCGCCTTTGGCTCCGCCAGGGGCAGCTTTGCCCTTTGTCGCCTTCGATGCCACCTTTCCCGTGACCTTGCGCACAGATTTACCCTTCTTCTTCACCTTCCCTGCCTTCTTCGGTGTGAGTGCTTCTTAGACCTTGTGTTCAGATCCTTCTTCTAATGCCTGTGCTGATCCGTCAAGTGGTGGAAGAGGATCATACTTGGCGAGAGCAGCTTTGCCATCCTTGTCGAAGTACTGGGTGAATCACATGGTCTGCTCAGGTCCATGTTCCTCTTGGCATGCCCACCAGTGGTCGAGAAGGGCACGAATGGGAACACTTGTCAACTTTGAGGGATTGATCCACTGGAAGTTCTCAGGTAGCATCTCTGCTACAATAACCTCATTGATGTCATCTATGCTGTTCAGCTTCGTCCATGGCGACTTGCAGTTCCGAACACCCTTCGCCAATGCTGTAAACTGGTCAGCATCTCCCAATACCCAGTGGGAGTGTCATACCGTAGTGATGATTCATGAAGTCTCGAACTTGTACCTTCATCACCTTAAGAGGCGCTTCCACCATACCTTCAGGCACTGATGGGAGCAGAGGAAAACCATTGGCCATCAACCGAATCTTGTCCATGGCCCGCATGCAATTGGCAGGTGTCTTCTTCACCATCACCATAGTCTCAGTCACACCTAAGGAATCAGGTCAGTGTGCCAGCGACAATGCAACTGAGTTCTTCTTACCGTATTCGCCTTTGGCCCACTCAGAGAACACCTTTGCTGGAGGCTGGTAAGCACACAGCCACCCAGGATAGGCCCCAAATGGAGTTCCATTGGTGATGGCATGGTTGACCTCCACCCTTCACTCGGGGGTTAGCAGATGGTGACAGTCGGATGGTCTACACTCACATCTCTACCTTTAGACTCCCCACTTCCTTCGGATATGCTAGCATGAATGCCATGCGAACGCCCATGGTGTCCCACATAGTCTTGGCGAACTTCTTCAGATATTGCATCATTCGCTGCTCCCTCAGCCTGTCTTAGGTTAGGTTTTGTCTTATGCTATGTGACAGGAGGTACGCACTTCATTTTCATCTTATCATCCAGAGTGCCATTCTGCCAACTCTCCACCTTTTCCTCATACGCCTTCTGCTCCTCCTTGGACAGTTTTGCCCATTCGGCACTCCGTGCCACTCTTCACACCTTGGAGACATTGCAACCCTTTTCTACCATGAGTGCTCTCATGGCCTCAGTCACCTTGTCCCTCTCCAGTGCATCCCACACCTTGAAGGCATTGGGCTTGCCAGAAACATGCATACACTTTTTCGTCACTTTCTCCTGCACATGGTGGGCATGGTTATTGAGCCACTCTCAGATTTTCTGCGGTGAGAGTTAGTGGGGACCTCACAGACATGAAACACTGCTCACAGTTTCCACAATGATGTCATCATAATTTGATGCATCGACAAAGTGTGTCTTCAGCTTCTGGCACAAGCTCTGAACCAGAGTCTTGCGACCCTTGGCATCTGCCATGTCATAAGACTGCAGCTTCTCAGAGAGTATGGGCTGATGCTCCATCAAAATTACAAATCTCATTGGCATGCTTTCTCGATGTTGAGGATGAGATTTTTGTGTTGGAGCAGTGAAGGGGGTCGATAGTTCAATGGGCAGTGCTCTGTCCATTTCCTCGTCGGCCACCCACAACTCAACATGCACGTGCTGATGGCCCATTTGGGCTTACACCAATTACCCTCCTCGCCATGGTGTGTGGTGACTGCTGAAGCATTGTATGTGTATTTTTCGCAGTGGCGGGAGGTGGTGGTAGGTATGCACTAGCATTCATGCCTAATAAAAGGCAATGTTGAACACCGCTTCTATAGAAAAACACACCACACCAACTCTATCTCGCGAATGCTGGGCAGAGGCAATCTGGCAATCATCTGCATGCCAATCTGTGGGATAAAAGGCTTCCTCGGAGTTAGGCTCAGCCAATTAGATGGCAATGACGAAGGGCCTAGACATGGCGGACCACCCGGCCCGTGATCTGGCATGGTGGCATGAAGTCCAGCTCAGCGGCATGATGAACATGTGAGATGTGCAAGGGACGTGCTTGCAAGCAATATGCAGGCAGATGAATGCATACTGTTCTTTGCCATTCTGGCCCCTCCTACATTCTCCCCTGCATCTGCAAGCCAACTGCCTGAGCCCGCCATACACCTGTGCGTTCCTTCAACCGATGCATGCTGTAATCATCCCATTGATTGGCAGACAGTATCAAGATGAGCAATCTGTCACCCATGCCACTGACTGATCAGATTGCAGGAGTCTTGGAGCTCATGTTTCGCCAGAAGCTCTATCTGACCACTCATGCAGCCCATTCTGCGCCATCCATAGAAGTGCCTCCGTCCATGCCATCCGCCCTCCTATTGGAGTGCAATGGCATTGCAGATGCTCTTGTGAAGGCCATACGTAATCCTGGTAGTCATTAGTCTTGCTGCAGGTCTGATCACACTGATCATGCCATTGTAATAGTAAGGCTGTAGTGGGACATTGATAGATATTGTGACAGCCTTTTGATTCAGCTCACAGGGCAGAATGAAGTCCTCAAGGCAGAACTGGAACGGAAGTGGCCTCCTCCATTTGGTGAGAGCGAAATACGCATAGACCAGCCTGCCACCCTCGTGGACATGCATGGACGCATCTTGGCTTGGATACTTCCAAGAGTGTTGATACCAGACCGCCAGGTGAGTGGCTTGCCCAGCCTTGCACTGTGATCTGACAAATTTGTCAGATGAAGATGCTCCAAGCGACCAGGGCCCTACACCCAGCAATAGCAGCCAGTAAGCCTTCCAGCACCACTGCCAGTTGGCGACACAACCCCTTGTACTTCTTGCCTCCTGAGAAGTGTGCCCAATTCCCAGTGGGCTCCTTGTGTCTCTCGCCAGGTTGGTTCCAACAAGTAAGAGAGGTGGGTCTCCTCGCCACGCCATTTGCCTTGCGTCTGAACAGCCTTTGCAGCATATGGAGTCTGGGAGGCTGGAGACCTCCACCAGCCTGAAGCTTGAGGGCGGAAGAAGTTGGCTACATGATATTTATGACTCCTCCGCATTGTTGGGCGCCATCCTGGTCATCGTTCACCCAACGCTATATGCCACAGGATGCCAGTGCTTGGGTTTGATCCAGCAAGACCCAGAATTGCGAGAGATGGTGCTGAACTGGTCATCGCCATTCAATGCACTCCAGGTGATCGCCAACTGGGAAACTCCTTTCCACCGAGATAGCAAGACAAGATACACATTCTACAACCTGTTGGCGACTTTGGGCAACTACACTTGCGCGTGGTTAAACTTCCCCACCATGCATGTCGCCATCGATTATAGTCCTGGAACCATTGTAGCCTTCTGTGGGAAGGCGATTCATCATGGTGTCACTCGAGCAGATGGCGAAAGGCTCGTCTATGCATACTTCATGTGAGAGGGTGTCCAGAACAGGCTGGGCATTCCGGCACCCCACTGGATGCAAGCTTTATATTACGCCTCACACATTGGCATGTGCACAGTTCATCACCGAGTCTGCATTCCTAACTCAGAACAGATCCTAACTGGCTCGCTTATTAGAGGGACATCATGCCAAAGACTGATGGAGATGAGAACACTATGCAGGGGATGGAGACTGTTGATGGCAGCTTCATTGGCAGGACAAAGTTGGCGGAGGTGATGGCAAAATGTATGGAGTCACGAATTTCCGAATTCTAGCTGAAGGTTGGCGAGCGCGCGGTATGAGTGCACGTTTCACATCTCAACAGTGTTCAGCTCAAGGTGTAGTTATCACTGATGGCAGCGTATGGTTGGCGGACCTCGCAGTTGGTGAAGGTGGTGGCAAAATGTATTCAGTTGAGAAGTTGTGAGTGCTAGTGGGGCAGATGGCGGCAGTGTTGGCAAGCGCGCAGTGCAAGTGCATGTTTCCCTTTTGAACATTATGCTACTCCGAGTCAAGGCAAAGTTAGCACTGAGGGTGACATACGATTAGCGGACCTCTTGCCAACATGGCATCCTTATCTGCATAATGCCGATATGGTGCCTAAAGAGACCACGAGGTGATAGGGCCCAGGCATTGCAGCCATTCATAACCACCTTGATGAGTAGTCTGGTGGGCAGCATGGCCATGTGTGATTTGCACGTGTTGTGTGATAGAGACACAATGCTCATTGATGGGCTTGGAATACGACTCCCCACTGACCTGAACCATGAGCAGACACAACAAAAGTAGGCTCGTTGTAGACCTGAATGACGAGGTCGAGTTTGTGACCAAGGTAGCTAAGCAGACCACTAGGGGAGTACACTATGTGGACGTACCTTTGCCCATGCCCACGGGTTTAAATGCGCCATCACCTTCCAAAAGTCCATCGAAGGCTCCAGCTTCAGGCTCCTTGTTTAACTTGGATGATGGTGACATCCTGGGCAACATAGGTGTACCGATTCAGCTGGATCCGGCAGCTCAGAAGACAAAGGTGGGCACTCCCGCCATGACTATCTGACAGTCTGACCATGTCCGATAGACCCAGAATGACTTCATGAGGGACTGGATACCCCACCGTGATGACTATCTTCATGCCATTGTCGAGATGGAAGCCCCACCTGAGCCCAGAAACTGTGCGGAATGCAAGGTTGGCGAGGGACGGTGGTGATGCCTAGACTGTATGGGCAGACTGCTCACCTGTACTGACTGCTGTCGTAATGGCCATCAGTGTGCTCCTTTCCATCAGATAGAGCATTGGCAGGGTCAGTATTTTGAGCCGGCATCACTGTATCGGGTCAGCATCTGCATCCATTTGGGGCATGGTGGAGATCCCTGCCCTCTGGGCACCTTCACAGCACATAACAACCCTGCGCTGGTGGTGGCCCCAGGGTCCGATTTCTGGAATGCCTCCAATGAAGACCTAAATGCACATGATGGCGAGGTCCCAGATGATGGTGAGGTCCCATTCGACTTTGCACCTCTGGCAGGCACCCTTGATGGTGAAGCAAGGCAAACCGATGATGCTCCCGATCCCACTTGGGAGGAAGATGTGCCACCGGTGCTCTCCTGGCCACCTCGCTGTGATAGTTATGGGAATCAGATCATGGTCATTATCGACATCTCTGGCATTCACCATATCGGTGTTGACTGGTGCCAGTGTGAGATGGCGGTGGAGCGTGACATGCAGCTTCTTCAAATGGGACTTTACCCTGGTACCGTCAAGGATCCCCATACCGCCTTCACATTCGTCGTCCTCGACGATTTCCTTCTGGAGAACAAAGAGTGCAAGACGGCGGCATTGAACTACTACAGCAAACTCAAATGGGTCACGAGCAATGCCTTCCCTGACACCGTTCCCATAAGTGTTCACATGCATTCCCATGGCCCAACCATTCATGCCAGTTCCTTGCCAGGACCGTTATCGTGAGCTGATGTGAGTGTCCTGCCAATGGCGCCAACTCAAATATCGCAAGTGGCACAGCTTCTCACACGATGCCCTCCATCCTGTGGAGAAGGGTGGCCTCGCCATCTTTTGTCCTGCCTGTCCCCAGCCTGGGCTCAACCTGCCTTTCGATTGGCAAGCAGATCCAGTGCAGTGGAAGTTCAAACACGGCTTCATCATGGATGGCAATTTCAGTGCAGAGCACATAAAGATGAAGCACCCCAAGGAGGATGTCACCCTCAGTGACGGCCAGGCATTCATGGTCGGCCAAGAGGATTACAAGGCTCATCTGGCGGTGGCCATGGAGTCGCATCAGGTGCGTGTCTGGCTGCACATTCTTCTTTTGCCCTTGACTCCTAAGCCCACCAGCGCTCCACTTGTCACGAGCACCGCACTGTCAATCAGGCCAATGTGGATCGTGCCAACCTCAATGCCACAGGAATTGGGGCCACTGCTTGCGCCAGACATGGTTTCTTCATCCCTCATACTGTCGTCGATTTCCAGAAGGGAGAAAGGTTCACATATGTCTCTTGTCATGATCCATTCTCACCGACGCACCCTCTGCAGACAAATGAATATGGATTACTCTCTCAGCAATACGCTCCTGACCCTCACCGGTATCACCCTCGTCCTCATCATGTATGACATCATGTGCCAGTATGGCGTCCATGTCCGCAAACATTTCCGCCACAGCGCCTATCTGAGGATGCCCTTCGAGCTTAAGATAGACCAAGGCATCGGCTTGTTTCATGTGCATGGACACCAAGATTGCTGCTTCCAACGGTTCTCGCCCAACTTTATAGTTGGCGCTGGTATGGTCGATGGCGAGGTCATCGAGACCCTGTGGGCACCAACAAATGAGGTCTCAGGCAGTACCAGGGGCATGACCCGAGCTCACTGCCAAGAAGTCCTTGACAATCACATGAATGACTCCAACTGGAAGAAGACAACTCGCATGAGTGAGCCTGGTTCCTCCTTCCCTATTTGCCACCTGCCTTATGCTGCCTATAGTGCCAACCTTGATGACAAAGTGGAAACGCGTGGTCCTGGGCTTCCCACAAAGCAAGGAGTCCTTTGAAGCTTTATCTGCATCCACAGATGAGGAGGTCCTTGAGGCATGGCAGAAGGAGTACAATGACACTATGGAGGCTCGCCAAAGTGATCCGAAGATTATGGACACCTTTGATGTCCAGCTCAGGAAGGGTGAGTATCCTTCCATCATCATATGGCATGTAGTTGACGTGAATGCAAGCCCCGGGTAAAGACCTCACCCAACTCAGACTGGCGGGTGAGGAGTCCACCAAGGGCTTGGAGAAGGGCACTGCCGGATGGTTGTCGACTGGCCTCAAAATTCAAGAAGCACAGTGAGTTTGCCTCGTCTTAACAAAAATACAGCTCTGACGGCCTTTAGGCTTAAGCTTGCAAATGATATCCGCAAGGCGGGTCAAAATCCGAGCGTGGCAGAGGACCTCAAGACTCTTGAGCACCGTCAGCGCCTCGAAGTCAGCATTCTCACATTCCAACGTCACTCTGAGAAGTTCATGAGAAGATTGGAGGACGTTTCAGCCATGGAAGATCATGACAATGGTGCGCTCTGGGATTCCTTGGATGAGAATCCTTTTCAAATACACCCGGAGGACGCTGAGTATGGCGAGGATGTGATTCCACCCGAGCAAGCTTCCTTGAATTTACCTTCGCAGATCAGATTTGTGGCCGCCGTCACCAATGGGCTCCAGACCCTGGCGGCCCAAGAGTTGGAGTTACGCAAAGGCCTGATGAATGACATCCTCCACGAGCTTCCCATGGCTTTTGGACTGAAGTCTTACCTCTACTGCAAGAGGGTTCATCCTGCCAACAGTGTCGGAACCATGACCTGTGCACAGGTGGAGTTTCATGCTGCCGATCAGACCGTCTTGGCCTGTGCCAGGCTCTATTCCACCAACTGATGCACCATTATGCGCTTGGGCACCACCGATGAAGACTTGGCTCTCTATCGCCCTTTGGATAAGAAGGACCTGCACGTGAAGACTGCTGTCATCGAGGCTAGCACCTCCAGGCTCAGGAACGTCAACCTGGCTTGGTTCTGGACTGTGGATGTCGCTGGAGATCGAGATTCATCAGAATGGATGGACGAGTGTTCGTCATTATCTGATCGATCTCTAGGCCTCCTGCTAATTTACCCTCCAGTCTATAGAGTCAATTGGCTACGTGCCAGAGCATGATATGAGAGATGGAGGGACGAGCATGTCTTGGTCCACTCGGAAATGGCCTGGACCATAGCCACCTTCAAGCGGAATGCAGAACGATGGGCTCACTGGCTCGAGATGATGGATCCTTCCTGGCGGGGTCATGTTTGCTATGCCACCAGGCAAGTAAGTATGTGGCGGACCTTCACCAACCATGCCACTGACACCTTCAGCCAAATTCTCGCCCTGGACATTGAGGACAAAAGGGTGGGCCATGCAAATGGACTTTGAGTCAGGGTTCACTGGGGTGTACACATATTCATGTTTGCTATATCGATGTAGTGATCATCATGTATGTAATTTCTACTCACCAATATCACATTTGGTGAAATGACCTCCATCCTCGACTGAGGGCTTCTTCTCGGCATGTGCTCTCCAATCGCATGACATCAGACATCAGATAAGGTCGATCAGATATCAACCTTGGCTCATCCACTCACTGTCATGTCTGCCCAGTCTTCAACATCAGATGCGCGCCCCTGCCTGTTCTCCAGAGGGAGGTTGCAGTTGGAAGTCTACACTTGGAGGATCCAAGAAGCTGTTCTGGCACTGGAGCCTGACCCAGATCACTTCACCAAGGTCCGTTGGGAGGAAGGCTTGCACCGGGAGATGGTACACCTTTCTTGCTGATATCCTCTGACCCTGCTGAGTCCTGTGCAGTTCACCATCAGGGGTATCTGTGGCGACCTCGCATTGGCGGGTCATGCTGACCATATTGACCATGGTGGAGTTATCGCCAGTATCCTCAGCATCTGCACTTTTAATCGCGAAGTTCTGCGCCCCATCAGCATTGACATCAAGGCGATTCCACACCCCACCACCCTCGTTCCTCGTCCTAAGAACCTCCTTGAGGACTCACCCGACTACTGGTGGAAATGGGATCATCAGGTTGGGCCAGTGGGGAGCCCTATGGAGGCCTGGTGGTACAAACTTGGTGATCCCTGGGTGAGTGGTACGTTCCAGCACCTTACAGTCTTGCTGAACCTCGAGAACTTAGGAGAAGGTGTACACCGTCTCTGAGTCTACACTGGTGCAGCTTGAACAGCTGCATGTTCGCATCGTGAACCTCACTAGTTGGTTGCATGAGAGGACAGATCAGAAGGCAGTGGACCAATCACTGAAAAATATGCCCATGGCGGTGGACTGATCACTGAGAACTACACCTATGGCAGTGGGCCGATAGGTCTGAGCAAGAGGTGCTGCATGAGCAATGACTCGGTGTCAGAGCCCCCTTCTTCTGTGGTGTCCTTCAGCTCGTACGCTGATTCGTACATATCCACATCCTCGTCTACTTTGTGCTCTTCAGTTGACTTCAGGTACAATCTGTTCACTTCGTATGGTCTACTTCTTGGCTCGGGCAACCAGGCGTGGCATCCGCCCATGCTTCCCCCCGACCAATCTCCACGTTTCATACATCCACCTATGCTACTCCCTGACGAATCATCAAGTATGTTCCTTCACCCACCCATGCTCCACCAAGATGACATGGACACGATACGAGCCTAGTTGACAACCTAGGGCAAGGCAAATAACTCAGCTATGCCTGAGCTAGACAGATATTTCAGGTGACCTATGCCTATGGGCTCAGAAATATACCTATGGCAGTGGGCCGATGGCTGTATAATAGGCCCGTGGCAGTGGGCTGATCGCTCAGAACACTACCTATGGCGGTGGGCTGATGGCTGTATAATAGCACCATGGTGGTGGGCCGATCGCTCAGAACACTACCTATGGTGGTGGGCCGATCGCTCAGAACACTGCCTATGGCGGTCAGCCCACCGCTCAGAACACTATCTATGGTGGTGGGCCGATGGCTGTATAATAGCATCATGGCGGTGGGCTGATCACTCAGAAATATACCAATGGCGGGGGGCTGATCACTCAGAAATATACCAATGGCGGGGGGCTGATCGCTCAGAAATATACCTATGGCAGTCAGCCCATCGCTCTGTACTACCACGGTGGCGATGGGCCAATGGCTGTATAATAGCCCTGGGGCGGTGGGCCGATCGCTCAGAAATATACTTATGGCGGTGGGCCGATCACTCAGAATACTACCTATGGCGGTGGGCCCATCGCTCAGAACACTACCTATGACGGTGGGCCGACGGCTCTATAATAGCCCCAGTGGCAGTGGGCTGATCGCTCAGAACATTACCTATGGTGGTCGGCCCATCGCTCAGTACTATCATGGTGGCAGTGGGCCGATGGCTGTATAATAGCACCGTGGCGATGGGCCAATCGCTCAGAAATCTACCTATGGCGGTGGGCTGATGGCTGTATAATAGCCCCATGGCAGTGGGCCAATCGCTCAAAAATACACCTATGGTGGTGAGCCCATCGCTCAGAACTATCACCGTGGCGGTGGGCCCATGCCTGTATAATAGTAGCATCATGGCGGTGGGCCAATCACTCAGAAATACTCCTATGGCGGTGGGCCCATCGCTCCAGCATTCCCTTCATTGCCATGAGCTGATTGCTAACAGCTCCTTACACAGACCGATGGGCCGATGTCCACTGGCTGTCCAGTTCATGACAATGTCAGGGTAAATGAGAGTCCAGTTCACAAACATGACTGAATGGGCTGCGTCATTCGGGTCATCGTGTTTTTATTTCTTCTGTAAGCCATGATTGTCATCACCACTGAGCTCACAGGCATGAATATATCTAGCGCGAACTTGAGAACTTGACCCACAATAAATAATAAATTTAGACTCACGCAAGCGCTGCTGGGGTCTGCCTCCAATCTTGAGGCATATTCATGCCTGGCCATGGACGTGTAAAGCATGGCACGGTGAGAGATTGAGGGTCGTGATTCGGAAGGTGATATATCGCCAAATTCAACTAACAATGTTAAATTCTCTGTATCAATTCTGCAACGTTCAGTCAGCGACTATCGACGTTCATCAATACACATGCGTACCTTGACAGTGTGCAGCGCAGAATTGTTGGTGAGGCATCTGATGGCATACATGTAGTTGTACGCCCCCTTCTTCGACATTAGGGCATGCATGTGCCACTCCTTCAGCAGCGCCATGGTGAATGCACTTTCTGGGTGATCTAAAGTTGTGGGGAATAATCTGACATGCAACATTTGCGAGATGCACTCTGGCACTCCAGCGCAATGACACCAATGCATGGCAAGCTCGTGAATCCCATTAGTGTGCATGACTACAAATTTCGATGGTTTCAGATGGTCGACCAAGTCCGGACAGGGCTGCCCGTGATGCCCAAGGTAAAGAATATATCCAAACATCCCCATGTCAACTTTCTCGAAGAACTCGCCATTCCATAGATCGATCCAATGGAAATGTCACAGCATCATGCAACCAAAGGGCCACTGCAGGCACACAGACCGGGAATGTTCGGATGAGCTTCCGTGGACAGAAGGTCAGCGAGACGGTCACGGAGGCATGGTGTCCACTCCGCTAGTACCCTGGAAACCCCATTCTGCAAAGACTAAGAACTCGGAGTGGGAATATGGAAGATGCGGCTTACCTTGACCTGTCCCGTTGTAGCTGCAGGCTGTTTTGGAGATCCTTCATGCATCGCGATGTCGGGCTCAGCAGTTTGTACCTCTGATGGCCCTGCATCTGCTATGCCCTCTTCGCTGTCACGCGAAACCTTCCTCTTTTTGGCAGGGGACTCAGGGGTGTATTGAACTTGGGTATCAGCGAGAAAATATGTTGGCCCTTACCATCCATCTCCATCTTCTTCGACATGATGGCCACTTTACGACGAGATGCGTGGAATGTAATTCCCTTTGCCGTGCCCGCTCATCCAGTCATGGAGGTAGTGGGCTGCTGATGTGATAAGAGGATGAGAATTTTGCAGAGCAAGAGGAACTTACAATGCATGCACTGAGGACAGTGGTACCCTGGCCCACAAAACGCTGTTGTACTTCTATGATACCTTACATACACTAACCCACACCGTCCTGATCTTGACAGATCACCTCCACATGGGCGCGAACTCTACTGATCGAGAAGCTAACGAAAAATGGATGCGTGATCTGCTGCAACTGCTACATCATCACATAGGGACCTCACACGCATGGAAGAATATACCTAGAGCCCGTGAGCCTGCGAGCAAGCCACCTCAGTGCCGGAGTAAGTGAGGGAGATTGATGATAAATAGCAAAAGACTTACCAGGAAATGAAGGACATCTTGAGGGCCAAAGCAACGGAAGGCCATGAAGAATAGCAGTGACCTAAATGTAAAGAGCGAGCGGAAGAGGATACACTACAAAAATATACATACCATGGCTATAGCTCCATTGTCGGCATGCAAGCCCTCAAATTTGCTGTGTCCACTCAACCGCTGGTGATACCAGCAGGAGCAGACACCAACCGAGGTCTCACGATGGCCATATGGCCATCGGAGCACCAGAGTGCTTGAAGAGGTGGAGGGAGGAAGAGAGGCTTGAGGAAAGAGCTTGAACTTGAGTCTGAGGCAGCTGGGACTTGAGGCTGTTGGACTTAGAACGAGGAAGTCACCAGCACTGACAATTGAATCTGGGTGGAGATTCAAATTGGATGGTGAGTGGGCAGTCCTCTTCCATTCACATTCAGAGCCCGAAAGGCCTCGGACCGGCGGACTCCAAACTCAGAGGGATCAAACAGGATCATCCTACCTTCATCAATTATCATTCATCATCCCTACCCTCCTCCCTTCTGTGAGTTTCATCTCACATTCTAATTTCTTGAAGATCTTCTTTCCCTCAAAGCCAGAGTGCGAACGAGAGGCATACGCCTCTTGAACGCCACTGAGGACGACAGCTACATGTGAAGAGAGACTTCTCTCTTTGCCTGGCTGGGATTCCCAAGAACTCAAGACCGGTGCATGTTCGAGCATGCTGTGCACCCCCTGTATCAAGATCAGAGGCCTGTAGATTTTTGTAAGTCTTTGGCTTCTCTGTTGGAGATTGGAAGTAGGTAATCTCAGTGGTAAGTCCCTTATTCACAGGTGGTGTAGCCTTAGCATGCATTACTCATTCATTTTCCCTTCATTGTGTAGCGTCCATACATTTCATAGTTACATTTGTGTACTCTCATTTCGTCTGCAGGCTCATTGGCGCTAGATTGCGGCGCCTTTTTCTTCTGCGAAGGTACGCAAATTGTACATCTAAGCCTTGTGTGAGGCTGATTATTCTTACCAAATCAGACGATGTCTACGAGATGAGGCCAAGGCCAAGGCCGAGGATAAGGACGAGGACGAGGACATGGACGAGGATGGGGATGTGGCTCGGGATCAGTGCTGGGGCAGTCCAATCAGAACAATTCCGGTATGTTTTCACTCAGTCTTTCTGCCTAGTGCTAAGTGATCTGAAACTCTTTCCTAAGCTCATCGAACAGTACACGATGGAAGAGATGCCCGGCCGTCAGCCTCCTAAGGCTACAACGATCTAACCTCTCGGGCTATGGCATTGCCAAGTGCATTGTCATCTCACCAGGTGATCACTGGTGGATTGACACTTTTAATGGGTAGGCAAATACCTTTACAATGTTTAAGCTCTCTCTGATCGAGTGAAACAGGGGCAGATGAAGTTTCACCTTTCGATGGTCTTTTGGCCACGGAGTTTCCATTGCGTGATGACGGTGTCATAATCACGCCGAATGCGAGCTACATACCCAAATTCCCAGCAGTACTCAATGGGCAGATGGCGACGCAGCATGATGGACGTTGGGGTCCCCAGGAGTATTTGAGGTGGCCGCAGATGTTTGACCAAAAGGTCATACATCACATGTGTATACCGGGTATGGCTGCTGTGTTGGAGGCAGATGCGATGGTTCTGTGGGACAAGATCAGGTTATGGGAGTGGGAGGTGGATTCGACCTGCAGTGTACCCGATCTGGGCTTTCTGACAGAGGAGAAGTTCAATGCGCTGGCTGAGGCAGCACTGCGAGTGATGGACAATTTTACTCGCCAGCTTGGCAGAGCAACTTCAGAGAAGATGAAACCTGGCCAGCAACTCATACTGATGCTGGGTCAGTGTCTGGACCGTCTTCACCTCCTCCCGATGACTTGCACCCATGTGATCGCACTTGGGGCACACATGCAACACCTCACACTCAAGCTGTGGGGGTTTGTCAACTATTACAATGTTGTCGTCGGTCGGCTGGAGATGCCAACCCTCCACAGGAAACCCGATTGGGATATTTTGCCTGTACGAGGTGCTTTCACGAATGACGCCAATGTCGTGCATTCGTTGTTCTGCGTCGGCATACCATTTTGGTTCATCCAGACTAAGACAGAGAAAACAAAGATCGAGAAATGGGCTAGTCCTGTGTTGGTGAGCTATGAGCTAAGCCTGGAAATGTCATGGCCGCACCTGCTCAGGCATGAGATGGACCTTGTGGGAATCTTGCACCGTGCGGGTGAATGGCCTGCTAGGATGTTGCATGAGGCTATGGCTGCTGTCTGCACTGCCGGCCTGCCTCTGCTCGAAGGCGCATCCGAAGTCTCAACTGCTGAACAACCCCCACAGAAGAAGCAGAAGGATGACAAACTCCCATCTGCGCAACTCCCAACCATGCAGCAGAGTGACGGCCGAGCCGATTTGCAGCCCTTGGGCAGTGCGGAGTCCACCAAAAAGTCCAAGCGTATGCACCACGGCATGCGAGGAAAAAAAATTGCAACACTGAAAGTTCTAGCATGGGGGCATCGCAGCCTGCCCATCCGTCTTTGTTGCACAAGCCCAGCATGTTACTCAGTGATGCATGGAACACTGCCCTCTCAGGTGTGTCTCTTTGATGGCACTGCCACGGGTGGCAACATACTTTTTCCTGTCGCCTTTTGTGCTTGACTGCACCAGTGACAAGCTTGCCCGGTACCTGCACAATTTTGTGCGAATCCGCTTGTCGTCATCGAATTTTAGATCTGACAATCAGTGGGCTTCCACTGAAGATAGCGGAATGGAGGGATGTGTTGTGGGGAGACTACAGTCTGGACGAGACTGCGGAAGGTCAGAGCACTATGTCAGCCACCTTGACGTCGGGCGAGGGTGAGGCAGCGGTGTGTGAGGGTGCATCAACATTAAGTGGTGATGGGCTATCAGACGCGAACACTGCAAGTCTTGTCACCAGCAAATCGAGTGTGGCGAAGAAAGCCAAGGATAAATATGAGCGGCAACAAAATATTCGTCGGCTCTTTGCTGCCACTGGCCGGATAAGCTCGTACGATGAGACAATGGAACCCTCCTAGGGCGAGGACCCGATCTTGCTGGATAATGTGGTCGACGTTGATGAGATTGTAGTTCCGTCGCAAGCCGGAAAGGAGGAGTACGAGTGGAATCAAGTCCACGTGAGGTCTGCGATGCAATGAAGGAGAAGAGTCTATTCCAGAGGTATGAGGTGGGTGGCCCGAATCGCAATCCCGTCCCCTCACGCTCCTACTCATTCCGAGGGATCCTCCATCACCGAACCCACCAGAGTGCCTAATAAGGACCCGCCCATCTCGGAGGCATCTCCCATCCTAAACTCAATCTCCCATCTATGGACGCCAGCGTCATCCTTCGCAAATACACCCTTGCAGAAGCTCTTCTTCGCATTGAGATCTTTACCGAGCCCTTCGATCCAATCCTGTGGAAAGCATGGGCTGTCCGGATGCACGTCCTGCTGGTGAGGCCCCCACGGGCATATGATCCTTCGCCATCTGACCCTCACATGTCCCTCAGGTCTTTATGGTCCAAGCCCAGTCTGAAGCGGCCAGCGTGGGGATTATCCTACCCCTTCTGCATGATATCTCTGTTCTGGCCCAAGTGGAAATACACCTGGCAACAGCTCGCACTGTAGAAGGTGGTCATTAGATGATACCCCGAATTGCAGATCACCTTCCTGTGGTCATTCCTCGTGGTTTGACTGCCCGCGTTCTGTATGATGACCCCGCTGTCTGCGAGGACTTTGGTTTAGGCCACCTGCCGGATGGTCTCCCTGACATTAGTGCACAGTCGTCCTGTCCCTATTTTCCTGAAATCATGTTCCTCAGCTTTTTATCGCCATCAGGAACCTTACGCCTTTGGGTTGAGACATTGCGCAATGCGGCCCGCGAACTGTACGATGTCATGCGTGGAATCACTGGTAGATGTGAGCTGGCAAATGGTACCTTGAGGCGGTTGCAGATCGTAGTCGAGGAATTGGAAGTAGCGTTTGGGCTCGTAGCATGCCCTCCTCCGATAACCAGCTTTCAACTGTTGTCGGACTAGGGGTCGGTTGTGTAGCACCCTGTAGTATCTCCAAAATGTGAGACCACTTCGCAGATGTGATTCCCACCTCAGCGCGCTCTGCATCCCTTCAACGTCTGTGAGCAGATCTTGTGGGAGCTGCATGAGACCAACTGGTGCTGCGAGTTGCATGTGTTGGATGCTCGTCTCTTGGACATGAGCAAATGGGGCTCTTTACATTGGTGGGAACGCAAGGCACAAGTGGCCAAGGTGTGGGATAGATGCACCACCAGGTCATGTCTGACAGTCGCACTGTGCTGGAGTAAAGATAATGTTGCTTTCCATTGGGTTCGTGCACCTGCGCTGGGATGGGAGCAAAGCCGTCTCTGCCTGAGTGCATTCCTCGCAGTCATGCAATGGTGGCCAGATGTCCCGGAAGACTTGCAAATAGATGTGGACACTCTGCTCATCTGCGAGGCAGATGAGTACAATCGCTTGCAGGATAGCATCATCTGCTTGTATGTGCAGACGTTCGTGCATCAGTTTCACCGTCTCCCCGTTGCGCCCATCCGATTCGCGTAGTGCTTGGCCGTTCATTCTGCAATTTATGTATTGTTGTACAGCAATGACATGCCCGACTTGATTGGAATGCACTATCTATGTGGGTGACAGTGCTGCCTTGTCTCGAAGATCGCCAACATCAGTTCAGAGCAGCTACACTCAAATTCAGCTAAGTGGTCACCATGTATAGTTAATTCAATAACTGACAACTTCTGTTTGCAGGCTGATTCACACTGGTAATTTCCCGATGGATCTCGAACAGTATGACATGTCATATATGCCTGGATTTTGTGTGCATTTATTTGCACTGTTTCTGATATAAAAGCTGTGATGCGAACACATTAAACTGCAGCGTTCACACTTGAACATGGCTCGCACCGACCCCCGCATCAAGGCCATTGTTGACGGCCTTCTCCCTTGACATGATGTCTTGCTGTCTTCGTTGATAACGTGCTTGGTGCAACCGGAGCAGCATCACCTCATTGTGGCCAGCTACGGTGTGACCAATGCTGAGAACCTTGGGGTGCTCTTCGAGATTGTAAGTCCACTTTGTACTCATGCACCTACATTCTTTCTGATCTCACTCAGTGTCGCACTACTCCAACATGTGGGTGCCATCTCAAAAGGCTTCAAGTGAAAATGATGCGGGGTAATATAGGACCCCTGACAATAGGTGGAGAGGCCTGATCCAAAATTCCGAAAATCAGCCCCAAACATCCGGAGAAATTTTGTGATTTTTTGGCCCATACTTCCGGATGAGATCAGACCTTCGTCCAATTTTTGGGCTCCTGTCCGGGTACCGCATCAGGCTTTTCGGCAGCCGACCGCCTATATAAGGCAGGTATGGGCGCTTCTGAGAGGCGGCGGCTCCGCCGCCGGCTCGAGGTCGGCGCTTGTCGGCTTCCGGGGCATGGATGGCCGGCTGAGGATCAGGCCTTCGCCGAAACTGACAGGAACTGCCGGACATGAGATCACCTCCGGAGGCCTTCAGGGCCCTCCGACGTCCGGATGAGATCAGGCCTAAGGCCTCAAAAATCCCAAATTTCGTCCGGATAAGTCATCAGGCCTCTCCACCTATAGTCAGGGGTCCTGGTAATATGGCCCAGTGCCATGAGGACGTTGCTGCTCTCTGTTCGCCCCCTGTACTATGCAGCATGGGCTATTTGCACTCTGATGAACCTCAATCTGAGGCCACGCCACTGCTGACCAGTCCTATAATCGACACCAGCTTGCCTCCGAGCAGCCTGCCCCTGAGCAGCCCACTCTCGAGTTCTCCTAGCACCTCACCGGTTTTCCGCCGCTGCAGTTGCCCTCCCTTGAATTCTGCCACTGTGTCAGTGCTCGTGGTGTGCAAGGTAAGTAACATTCACGTGTGACCACCGATGAGCTTGCTAATGTGGTGTGCAGGGTTCAGATATCCCTTTCGTTATTCTCACATGGGGAATACGGCGTGAGGACTATCTTAAATTCAAGTTCAAGCAGTTCTTTATCAAGACAGTGCTTATTGACGACTCTCAAGGCTTATTGCCATACCAGCGGTACTGCCCTCATTTGAAGAAGTTTGTCAACTATCCAAAGCACATGGATAAGCAGTATTTGCTTCCGGGTGACACTCCTGTTTACCGCGAAAAGGGCAGCACTTGGAATCTGAGTGCTGCTCAGATTGCTAACATACAGGTTTCAGCAACTGCTCATCTGCCTGCGCTCATGGCCGCTATCAACACGTTTGCGAAGAACATTCTCACCACCCCATCCTCATCTTCTGGTGGATCTCAGAGCACGCTTTTGATGCCTTTGACGTCCTTATCCAGCTGGGTTTGCGATGCTGCTAGCAGTTCAAGCTCGAGTAGATACGTGGCCAAGCATTCACTGTCACCCGATGTGGGGACGGAGGGTAGAAAATTCAGACTGATGGATAAGGGGAAGGCGCGTGAGGTGATAGAGTGTGACATTAAGCTTACAGATGATGAGGTGGAAGCAGAGATCATACCTAACGACAACGTCCTGGGTGAGATCATCGAGATTGTGGATGGCAAGGAATATTACTACATTATGTAGACTGGTTCGGAATAGTGCGCTCTGCCACAGTCAACAAATATTACCCGCTGACACTGTCTTTTGTCGTTCAGATCGGGATGCTTCCGCAACGCTAAATCTGATCCTGGTGAGATCTCACATATCTGTATATGATCTGAAGATTGTACTTTTACCGTCGGAGTGACAGCGTCACAAAATATTTTTTCTGCCAGACTACGTGAGGCTAAACATACAATACCGATTGGCTTATGCATCTCAGGAGATGGATGATAAGGGTAAAAATTTGGTGAGTCTCCCTACATTACGTGCACCCGCAGTAGCTTTCACTATGGCAGATCCCTTCATTGAAGTCATCTTGCAGAAGTGCATAGGCTGGCGCCTCATGAAACTCGCTGTGCTGGACGAGAAACATGCCGAATACTTGAGTCACAAGCCGGGTAGTGAAGAGCGAGCAGCAATCTTGAAGGCTGCAGTTGCAGCATTGCAGAACATGTCCCCTCACTTCACCAGGGCAGCTCTCCCCGTGGCACATGAGGTGAGCCTTTGCATTCATTCTCAGGGTATGATTCTCATCCATTCTATGTACATACAGAAAGTGCAGGTGTTCTTCAAGAACACCTGCGCACGCACCAGTAAAGGAGTCCGACGTGAGTTCCATGCCAGGGGCAAGAACATGTTCATCATGCACAAGCGTAGCAGTGGGAGCAGTGCATTATGGGCCAAGGATGACGAAGGTCGCAAAATTTGGGAGGCGGCGCTCGCATCTCAGGTTGCAGAGGGGAAGGTGAACGAATCAAACTGCGCAGCCGTCATCTCCTCGGTCAAGTCCAAGTGCTTCAAGGCACTATCAGATGAGGAGAAGCACACCTGGGAGGAGAAGGCGGAGGAGCTGCACAAGGAGTGGGAGAATTTGAGCGTTGATGACCTCATTGCCGAGTGAGTCTGAGTTGTAGCTCTGCGTAATGACTTGAGGCTCACCAGTGATGTTAGCAAGCAAGAAGGACTTTTTGTCAAGGTTGCATCGGCCCTCCAGGGGTTGATCAGAAGCAAGGGTTGGCAAGCAGGAGAGGATGTTGGCTTCCATTTGCGCATGGTGTACAAGCTGCGAGAGGGAGTTTCCTGTTCCACTCAGTGAGTTCTCGTTCTCCATATCTGTCCACAGAAATTCACTTACAGTATGTTTGCAGTGTCGATATCATGCCCGCCGGGGAAACCGAATCATTCTCCACCTTTGAAGGCGGAAATAAAGCTGAAGACGTGCACCGGGAACACTTCATGGCCCAAGTGTTCGGTAAGTTTCATTGCTTTGCGCAGGACTCTCATACTTACAATACGATCAACAGTGGTAAACTGTGATCCTCCCAGGGCACACGATGATGTTGGCAAGCCCGTCCTCCTGCAGATGGAGGAAGACTGGACTCCAATGCACCTAGGGAAGACCTTGAAGGAATACATGGAAGAGTTATGGTGTACGTATTTTGTTTATAAATTCATTCTCATACTAATTACTTTCGTCAGTCTACACACACACCGATGTTGAGGATCTCCCTGAACTCCCATGGGACGCACTCGGCGATATCGCATGTGAATTGGTTGCCGCAGATTGGGGAGGATCTGTAGGTGACCTGGTGAAGATGAAGCCTGCGCAGGTCATGGCACTATACCTCCGAATGTATGACATGCAAGACACTGATGGGTCATTCCACTTTGTGGTCGACCTGGCCGCTATTCGAAGATGCACGATACTCGATAACGGTGACATCCTCGAAGGGCCAAGTGTCGACGAGATGACCATCGCTCCTGACAGTGATGCCGTCATTGCTGATGGTGACGCTGTCGCTCTGGACGGTGATGCCATCGCTCATGATGGTGATGCCGCCGATGCATGGACGACTCAGATACGGGAATCTGCTGCCCTCCTGAGTGGCATCATCACGGTGATACATCCAGATCTCTTCGAAGCTGGGAAAATTGCTCTGCAGCATTTGGCAGAGGATCAGAACAGAGCGCAATTTGTTGCAAAATGGGCATTGGTATTCACGGCAGTACAGCTAATCTCCAACAGGGAGTGTCCTCTTCATCGCGATACTCAAACATGACCCACTTGGTACAATTTATTGGCCAGTATCGGTCCATATCACGATGCTCACATGGAGTTGCATGATGCCAACCTCATTGTGAACTACAGACCAGGGCATGTGGTTGGCTTATGTGCCGCATTGCTTCACATGGTGTGTCAGCATGCCGGGGTGAGTGGCTTTGTTACGCCTATTTCATGCGGGATAAAGTACATTACTACCGATGGGTCAAAGCACCTGGCTGGATGGACAGGCAGGTCTACTGTTCAAACAACTGTGATCATTGGATCTAGCTACTGGAGTAATACACATCTTCATAATACAATGGAGGTATTGTTATACAATACATCATAGTTGGTCATCCCTAGCACTAGAGTTTTTCCCATAGGCCCATTGCACACCATCGCTGAGTTCTTTGACTGGGCCCATGAGATTCTGGAATGTCCCCATTCTTCAACTGGGCCCACAGACATAGCAATCTGCAGTGGTCTTTGACTGGGCCCATAGGCATGGCTCGCCTGAAATATCTGACTAGACCGGGCATAGCTGAGTTATTTGCCGTGCCCTAGGTTGTCAACTGGGCTCGTATCGTGTCTGTGTTGTCTTGGTGGAGCATGGGTGGGTGAAGGAACTGATTTGTCAGAGGGTAGTATAGGTGGATGTATGAAACTTGGAGATTGGTTGGGGGGAAGCATGGGCGGATGCCACGCCTGGTTGCCCGAGCCAAGAAGTAGACCATACGAAGTGAATGGATTGTACTCGAAGTCAACCGAAGAGCACGAAGTAGACGAGGATGCAGACATGTACAAATCAGTGTATGAGCCGAAGGATACCGCAGAAGAAGGGGGTTCCAATGCCGAGTCATTGCTCATGCGGCACCTCTTGCTCATTCTTAACTCCATGTCTGAGTTGCCTACATCAGATGTGTCACCTGAAGTGAAGGGAAGCACGTCAGCGGGAACAGGATATATCTGAGAGGTAGTCGGGGTGGTAGGGGCCTGGAAAACTGCTGCACGAGGAGCAGCCGTGTCCAGGTGCCCATCAACTCGGACTGCATGGAAGTTTGGTACTCCATCTCATCACCATTGAACAGCATCCAAGTTGTGGAGTCCGAAGCCAATGTATGGGTGGGCTCCACTGTAGGCGAGATTCGACGGCTGGCTCCTGGGCTTGCAGAGGGAGTCTCAGACACACCAGGACCAGCGCATCTGGCATCGAGCTCGCTTACAAATGATGTCCGACTTCATGGAGATTAGACGTGCAGAACCATGCAATTTATAGCTAGACATGTTGATGTAATTGAAATAGCCTGATGGAAGGTACAAGAACTTACTACAAACTGCAGCTGATCAAATGGAAGTAAGGAGCGCATGCATAAGTGCCATATAATAAAATTACTGTGGTTGGGTACTCACACATTGCAAAGAGTCTTGCCTTTCGTCCTTTCACCAAAGCGGCATAGCGGTTGTGTGACAGTTGTAACATTGAGCTTGAGACTGTAGGGCTTGGCTCCAGGCTGCAGCACAGGTGTTGTGGATGGAATTTATGACTTGTTGGTGAGCAGTTTCTGTGATTTACACAACAACTGGGAGATGTTGGCTCTCCCGTGTCGGTTTTACTGCAGGTGGAAATGTGATTGGACTTCTAGTGCCCAATCGCATTGTCAAGTGGCAATGAAAGCAATCGGCCATGTGCGGCATGGTGAATTAATTCACCATGCTGTGTGAAGGTGCTGTTATTTATTGGTGCATTGCAGGTGCTTAGGCAAGTGTCTGCCTGGGGGCCAAAGTTGTCTGCCTGATGTTTGACCTCTGTCGAGAAGGAATCAGCCTGAATGCAAACCAGACTAGGTCAAAAATGTTGTCTACAATGAGGGGTGGGATGAGAAGAAATTTTAAAGTGCTCAGATTTACTGAGGGTGACAACATCGAAATTCGAGCCCAGACTGAAGCAAAAACAACGTATGATGTCGCTGTAGAAGTTGGTCGATCTGAGAGCTACCTACAGTGTCAGCATGTCATTGCATATCCTGAATTTGAGGGTCATCACCTTAGTCCCTCTATCCCATAATGCTGGTGTTGACCAACTGTAAACTCGAGAAAATACCAATCCTTGGCCCACCCACCAAATCCTTTCTTGTCGGCCTGTACACCTTATCTGACGATCTAGCCTTGGCCTACTGTGAAGTTGTCGGCATACTACTCCGTACACTATGTTGTAGTCTATGTCGCTCTTATAAGTCTCAGCTGATATTGCTGCATTGAAAACTAGCCCCATGCCGAGGAAATGTAATCTTCCAGTACTGTACATGGCATGTCGGCAGGTACACCCTCACTTCATAGGCACCTGTGCATTTGGCATCACCCTCTGGCATGGACCACAAGGCGTCAATTTTAAGCCAAAGATGTCGCAGCCTGCCAGCCTATCAGGCTGGCACTCACTTATGAGGCCAGGAAAGAATTGCCATTTCCAGCAGAACACCTAGAAAACTGTGTGCTGCTAATCTATTGCAATCATCAATGGATCTCACCACTGATGACACTGCACGACAGCAATGCACCAGAGAATATGTGCTTGTGGCTGTAAAAACCACATATATCACTATTACTGCAATGCTGGCCGCGTTCTTTGAGTCCATACGTCTGTTAGTGGCTCTGGAAGAACCTGAAGCCTACCACACGTCAATCCTCAGCAGTAAAGGCTGGGTGCAGGAGCTTCTGAATGGCCATCCAGAGCGTATTCATTGCGAATTGGGTGTCACTCGTGATGTATTTCACCAACTGATCTCTACACTCAAAGAACTGGGACATAGATGCTCTCATAATGTGTCTCTTGAGGAACAGCTTATGATCTTTCTCTATGCTGTGGTAACAGGCTTGACAATTCGACATCTCAGCAAACAATTTCAAAGGTCGAATGATATCATCTCTAGGAAAGTCTTCAATTTATATTCCTCTTTGCCGTATTAGACTTCCATTGCAGATACTTTAGAAAAATGGTTCATATTTTTTCTTCGCCGGAATTTTACACACTTTATGTGCACTTGCCACAAGCCGATTACCCATTACCATGAAAAATATGACAAAACCCCCAATTTTACCCATTTTTTGAGGGTGCACTTGGGGCGCTAGATGGCACTTTTATTCCTATTACACCTCCCAGTGCTCTTCATGAGGCGCATCGCAATTGCAAAGGCTATGTCTCACAGAATTGTCTGTTTGCATGTTCATTCAATCTCAAGTTCATTTACGCCCTCACTGGATGGGAAGGGTCGGCTTTGGATCCAAAAGTTTATGACGATGCCAAGTACCATAATTTGGACATCTCAGCAGGACGATACTATTTGGCAGATGCCGGTTATCCTGGCTCAGACACTGCCCTTCTAGTTCCATATTGGCATGTTCGCTATCACCTGGCTGAGTGGGGCCGCACCGGTGTCAGGTATGCTCCAACCACATCTGTTTGCAGATGTCTCAAGTAGGTTTTCAGGCCTATGAATAAGCAAGAATTATTCAATTTGCATCACGCATCAGCTCGTAATGTCATCGAGCGAATCTTTGACATTCTCAAAAAGCAATTCAGAATTCTCCTCTTGCCATCTTCGTATTCTCTGGAAATTCAAGCACGTATCCCCACAGCTCTTGCTGCCCTCCACAACTACATTACAGTACACACACGTGCAGATGAATCGGACATGGATGAAGACTATTTGTATTTCAATCTTGGGCTTGCCACTGAAGAAATACATGGAGAGACAGCTCTTGAGAGGCATGACAGACACCGTAGGAGATCTTGACTTTGGAGGAGAGATAACTCCTACTCTTCCTAGATGCCATACGCATGTGCGAAAGAAATGACCAGCGAGCTTTAGTAAAAATGAATGGAGGAGGCAGTAACACAGCAAAGGCACAAGAGAACGAGAAAGAAAGTACCAGCAGGACCGCCGCACATCGACGACCTGCAGCACGATGAAGGGATGCACCCAACCCACAGTGAGCAGGGTGGGTGTGGGGCATGAGAATGTGACTGAGACCACGTGAACGTTCAATGCGACAGTGGTGTCGTGCTGACGGAAGCCAGAACAAAGGGTAAGGGTAGGAAAGAACCTTTGCGTGGAGAAGAATGGATGAGGGCAGGAATACTGGGCGACGGGTGGCGGGTGGCAGGTGGTGGGTGGTGGGTGGTGGGTAGTGGGCGGGAGAGCGGTAGCACGCGCCATTCAACTGACATGTCCAGAACAGTGAGAGGCTGGCGTCACGTGCCACTTACACTGTAGGCAGAGCGAGGGAGGCGGTGGGAGAGAGGCAGCGGGCGGACAGCCAAGTAGTGCACATCGGGCAGGGCAGAGAGCGTCTGCAAGAGCAGCACGTGGGTGGAGCAAGAAGCCGAGGTGTTGGGATCATACGGACAGGGCAGGAACCGGATCCTGGCACCATGGGCAATGCCGAGTGCTGAGGCTCTGCAGCAGGCAGGCTTAAGTCCCAACAGTCTCCAGCGCAGTATCCACGGGCAAGAGGATAAGGGGAGATCAACACTAATAAGAAGGGTCACATGCATCGGACTATTGGTACTAGTTAGTGTCTGATCGTGGGACAATGAGGTGGATGTGTGCTCGATACATGCAGGTGCATACAAATAGTACACAATACTTACAAAATACAGGGTAAGATTAGATAAGATTAGGGCAGAAGTACCACTTGGTCCTTGTGCTCCATGTTACAATGGCAGCCTGTTACACACATGCATTTTGTACTTGCTTAGAGTGGGCTGATGCTAATGGATGGCAAAGACGATTCCTGATTTTAATATCTATCAGACCTATACTTCTAATATGTGTTTAGTCTCTTTTTTTGCACTTATTATTCAAAAGTATTACAGTTGTATATTTTTATAATTACACATACATTTGGCTATGTTACAATCTAGTACAGTTATGCTTTAACATATACTACAACAGAACTAATCTTTGATATACACTTTGTCAGCACTGTTGAATCCATGCTCTCTATTTGTCCCTCTAG